TACATTAATTGTGAGGGGAACTGGAATAATACTACAGAGGCCACCTTCAAGAACTTGATCCTCGACTAAGTTCCCAAAGATCACTGATGGAAGTAGAACCTAAAAAGACTATGTACTGCATCCTCAATAATAAATAATCATAACGCCCTTTAAGCCGCTCAAACTATACTCCAAGATGTTGGAATTCTGCTGTTAGGCTGTCTTCTTTGGCCCTTTTGTTTTCAAGTTATATCCATCGTTAGGCTACAGTCACCGCTCAAAGACTTGACCAGAAAGCCCACGCTCAGACTTTTTTTCTTGTCAATAGCGAATGCGGGGCGGAATTCTATCCTTGTCTGGTACTCGGTAAGAGACTGCCGATGCATCGACGCTGGCGTTGAACAAAACGAGGATATTGCTCGTAAAGAGGCCCATCTCTGCACGAGATGTTTGACTCTCAATTACACTGGACGGCTCTTTCCACGAGATATTATTTTGTCGGTTGCTGTCCCTGGAAGGATTGCAGTTCCGAGTATTAAGACAGCCTCATCATCTTAAGAAGGGGTGGGCAGTGCAGAACAAAAAAAGGTGTATTAAATTGCTGCTGATCGCCTCAGCGGTGCTGGTCGCCATAAACTTGTCGCTTTTTATTTATTGCCTTCTATGCTGCAAACATACACTCATTGTGTGTGAGAGTCGCTCATTGCCCTGCCTTCATGCTGCCGTTAAAATTAAATAGGGCTTTTTCAAAACATTAACGGGCCACGTGCTAAGCGAAGTGCATGATAAACAGCCAACTGTTGTGATGAATCAAAGTTTAAAAACTAATCTTCAGATAAGTAATTGATGTGAAATTTTTGCTGGAGCTACTCGGATTTTTTAAGAAGAAAGAATATCAATTCAGTTGTACGTTGTTCAGTGTTTGACATTCTCGGAGCAGTTTTAGCAATTCAGTGCTTCTCATGAAATCGTTTATCAGTGCTCTGTTTAGTTAGAATTTGTTTCCTGGGCACCGTCAGTATCAAGTCAGGGCAAACAACAAATAACCTGAGTTTTACCGAACTCAATGCCCGGAAATCGCCTCTGTTAGGATTTCTCACCGCAAGAGTCAACACATTAGTCTTGGGTTTCCGGACCTGATTGACCAGCTCTTCCACGGCAACAAATTGCTACCTCAGAATTTTGGTCGAAATGCTCGATTTCAGAACAGATTCATCATTCTTTGTCTGACTGTTATTCCTCGATGTGAACGAGACAAGCAAACATTTGTTTTTCTGAGCAGGAAATGGCCAGCCGCAGTAGACCAATTGTCATTCAAGTATTTTCGTTTCGTATTTTAAGTCTTACATATATTCATTTCAGAAGGCTAATTAGTACTCGAACCACAGATATTGATTCAGTTGAAGGGCAACATGCCCAACCTTTGTTTGCATGTCATATTTTGGTGGTGGGGGGAGCGAAGTATGCCCACTGATTCCTTCTGTTTTGTTTATGTGCAAAAGACTGAGGCTGCGCCAAATTTACTTACCTGGGTTTTAAATCACAAACGACTTTATGGGAAGTAGGTACAGTCACAACGTAGATTTGCGTGTAACGAAGTCGAAACCAGCCAAATGGACGGAGCGGCAATAGCATAGGTCCATAGATCGCAATCAACAGCCCTGAAAAGCTTGGGCAGGGAATAGGAGCCCGAAACTGTGGGCCTCGTAGTTCGAGATATGCCTCTCATTGAAGACTCCGGAACTGCAAGACCCTGTTGTCCGTCTGACTGCTCCACGGCGCGTGGTCAACTCTTGCAAATATTTACCCGCTCATCATGCTGACGCTGTGTTCTACGTGCATTCGTCACGAACAGACAAGGAAAATCAAACTACAGAAAAAAAAAACCTAATAAGTTAATCCAACGACCAAAAATGACCACTTCGGTATTTTGACTGCAAGTGCACGCATCAAGATACGACTATCGACTGTCTTTCGGAAGAAAATATTTCGCAGTATGCCAGCTTATAAGACTGCAACAGCTACCAATGAAATTAAGCAAACGGAAATGCTTCTTCATCCAATGTCTTCATCGCGCGTTGGGAATGGCGTCTCCTCAGTCCTCTGTCTGATATAGTGGTATTATTATTATTTATTTGGCATTGAGGAAAAACAGTTCACAGAACAAGATACAACACGTGTAAAAATTCCAAGGACAAGGGATCTGGGATAAACCAGCAGCAAATGCCAGGAAGAGAAAAGGCTAAGTTAATAAACGTGAGTCTGAGAGCCGCCCCTTCCAATACTATTGACTAATATATAAACATATAGAAAAAATAAATTAAATAAGTTAATAAATAAATAAAATAGTGAAATATTATATGGGTAAGATTTCAACTTAAGAAAACATATTTTGTCCTGGAAGGACATATTAACCCGTCAAGGTATAAAAGTCTAATTCAAAGGTGAATAAACCAAGCACCATAAGGGATGTTAACACGAAAATGAGCCTACACGATGACGTTGATTACTGAGTAAAATAAAGCTGGCATTTGAATATTGGTACAGTACCCGACGGTAGGTCATTAGCACACAAGAGTAAATGATTGTGGCTACAGCCTCTACCTGTATGGAGTCGTGTGTATGTTCCAGCCGCAGCCAAGTGATTCTGACACAAGTTACTTTATTTAGGGCGTTGGTTATCTTGTGCACACACGATTTGAGCTCAGAGTTTCATTCTGCGGGCTATACTTTTGCTGTTTGTTGGATCTTGACCACAGAGAAGCTCCTATAGATACCCTATGAGACCACGCATGCGTATTTTGGCGCCAGTTTCTTGCCGCCTTAACTTTTGCGGCTTGGCCTAAGGTGACAATAACCTCAGCATAAGGACGATTTCGTAATATTGCAACCACTCTTGTGACATCCATAAGACCAGACCTGACACGGGGTCTCTTTTGAAATTCGTCATTATTTGCTCTTAAATTAGAAACGATCCAATGATTTCAACTAGTAACGATAACTTAAACCGTGCTTGGCTTTAATCTTGATACCTTAGTACATGATCAAAAGGAAACGTACTGGAAAGGTGGAAAGAAGGAAATTCCGTTCGGATAAGGCAGGATATTTTCTTTCCAAGTTTCTTTTGGTAGAGATACAGGTATTAAATACCGAACCCCACGTTTTTGTGCCTGGTTTGGTTTGTAGTTTTTTTCTGAGCGTGAAGTTCAGTGTGTCATTCACACCATTCAAAAGGAAACCACTGTAGTGAATAAGAAGGCACGGAAAACAAAAATTAAAAGCGGGCTTCGTAACCATTTCAATGTTGCAAATGGGTCATTTCAGTTGTAATATGGCTACTTCGCTCTACGAATGTTAGTTCAGGCAAATAAGATTGTAAGCATTTGTTTGGTTGAAATGGCTATTTAAACTGATCTGAATTCAAGTACCAATTCAACTGTTTGTACGGTCGTAAAAGCCCTTTCAATCATGTTGTAGTGCCTGCAAGGCTATCCTGTGAGGAAGGACTTGTGATACATCTTGGCAAAGTTGAAATTGTGTATTCATTGTCTTTGAGTGAAAGAAGCATGAAAACCTCTTTGTTCGTCAGTTCTTGCCATGGGGCTCGTAGTTACATGTACTTGTAAAAAGAGCAGATGTGATCATTTTCGTTATCAATCCCGTTGCAGCTCCTCTCCAAGACAAGTCATAAATAACGGTGAACAATTACAAAGGAATCATTTATTTGAATAGCTTGTAACTTAATTGGCTTAAGACTGGATAACTTGTGATGGACTCTTAATGTACTCAACTAAAACACTGCATAGGAGCAAAGGTTTTCTCTAATCCTGATCTAGAGAAACTGTTTTAGCCTTTCCAGTATGAAATGCTTGTTGATTAAAATCGTTAGCAATTGTTCATTTATTACTTCTTAGACCCATCCAGTGGAGTCCACTGATGTCCCATGGGTCTTACCATGTTGACATCAAGAGATGCAGAGGGCATCGCTGATCAGTCCCCGACTTTACGCAATGATATGGAAACACTTTATAGTGACCAGCGCAAACATCGACGCAGTTGAGAACGTTGGATCGGGTTCAACTTTGCCGACTGTCTGCGTTGAGTCGCCAGAGAAAGCCTATACAAACACGCACGCTCGCATGAAGGGCATTCAAGGATGTCCTTCTCGCTTAGTTCCACTCATTTTGATGTATCACACTGGAGTGTCAGCTTGGCTTCAAGAGGTGGTATTGCCGGCTAGCAAAGGCTTTTGATGCGAAAATTGCCGGGTTTCGGATGCCATTTTGTTTACAGTTTTCGTGGAAAAAAGTCACGCAGCGTCTCTTCCTTGACCGGCTACGTCTTGACGCCTTGCGTGGCGTCGGCGTTCGTTACGACCTTATGGAAACCAGGCTTTACCAGAGGCATGAAATTACATGTTAAAAACCCATAAATATACACTTATTAATGTAGATAAAGTGACAAAAATGATCAACGAGACATTATATCGGGGATTTTCGCTCGAAGGTTTCGTTTTGTATTTTTAATTGTGAGATCTTCATTTTAATTCTACGATGATTTTTATTTTTCTGGTCGAACCTATCACTTTCTTTGAATCTTGGACCTTTACAAAAAGTTCATTAACGGAAAGCATACATCCACGAATTCAAAGTTGAACTTGTTGTAAAATTACACCCGATCCGACTACCTACCGCTTCTTATAAGTGAGGCCTATGCAGCAAAATAGCCATTCTCAAACTGTGATGGTAATATATTATCGTATCGGTAGTCGGATCGGGTGAAAATTAAGGTCAAAATAATTTTGTGTAAATGTCCTTAAATTTGCTATAAACACAGAAGGATATCATTACACAACGAAATTTTGATTTTAGTTGGTCTTTTTGTACTTTTTTGTTTTCATTTTCAGTATTTCCAAAAGTATATTGCATTTATTGAATGAAACAATTTCACAATATGGCGATTGTTCTGTCGTTTTGTCTTGTGAGTCTTGCCTAAAGTATTTTTCATTTTTTCCCCGGCAGAGGATCGGTTGGTTGAACTTCGAGCAGAATAAATCATCTTGCGGGTAAAAGATGAGCGAGAGCCCCACCAGCATGGATGGAAATATGTCAGGAGAGTTTGCTAACTCCACTCTCGAACCAGACATTGGGGGATTGGTACCAAACAAACACCTTTTCATCGCCATTTTCTGCATCTTCTGCGTCTTTGGTGTCATAGGAAATGGTAGTCTGGTTTTTCTTGTCATCCGGTTCCCACATCTACGAACCATGCCCAATATACTCATGATCAACTTGACTATTGGTGACTTGCTGTTCATAGTCTCTACCCTACCAATCATCATCCAAATGGAACTGGGTGTTGTACCACAGTACGAAACCGTAGGGATGTGTAAGTTTGTCAACTTCTTTCCCGTATTTGGCAAGGGGGTGACTGTTCTTTCTATGATGACGTTGAGTGTGGAGCGGTACTGTGCCATAGTACATGGCTTGGAGATGCGTTCGATGAGGACCAGTCGGCGAGTCCTGGGCGCGATGATTTTTATTTGGGGAATGACATTCCTCATAAGCTTACCTGTACTGATAACCGCTGGTTTTTTGTATGAAGGTAACGAAGATACACCCAAAATATGTGCTGATATGTATATTGGAGAGCCGGGAACCATTGCGTACGTCAGCGTCCAAATAACTTTGTTGTACATATTGCCTCTTCTAGTAATGGGATTTTGTTACACGTCAGTCGCTGTGATATTGACAAAAGGGGCGCACAAGACGAACAGCAATAGTCGCAGCAGCACCAACTACAAAGCTCGAAAACGGCTAGCCATCGCCATGATTATCATGGCAGTTTTCTTTGGCGTTTTCTGGTTTCCAGTCACCGCTTTCAGTCTGTACTTCCAGGTGCACTTCAAAACACTTTACGAGCTTAATGATTCAGAGATGGCCGCGTTTCAGTTCTTTCGCCGCTGTAGTCGCGTCTTCGCGTACACAAACTCCTGTTTCAATCCCTGGATCCTGTATTTTATCAGCACGACCCATCGACGGGCAATCGCCAGATGTCTTTGCTCCTGCGGGGGAAAGGATGCAGATGAAACTGGCGGATATCGCATGGTGCGCATGCGCAACAACGGCAGGACTGTCACTACATTTCATTCTTACACCAGCGAGTCGGGTACCAACAGAACACATATTAAAGCAGAGGATATCTAAGATTGCATTTCATTGGATGCGAGTAATGAATTGTGACCTCGCAGTAACAGGTTCGTCCAACAAAGCGTCGGAAAGTATTTAGCAAACAGATTACTGTGTTAAACTACAATCACCTTTCAAATGCAAATCGTGTCAAGAATTTTACGTTAGCCCAGTATATTTTAACAACGGGAAAATGTTGGAAACCTCTACCTCCAGACTAACAGATTAACCAATGCAGTTCATGACAGGGATTAAAAAACTCAATTCTTTCGAGCTGAGTAGGTTACGTTATCCTTACACCACCAACGAGAGAGAGTTGTACACCAGATTGAGAGGAGTTTGTAAGTGTAGATGGCAACAGTGTGAGACAGCAAAGAAGAATTTGCAATGATGATGAAAATTTGACGTTAAAGAGAAGATACACGGTGAAGTATGGAATGAATGGAATTTGAGAGGAGAATATGACTGATTTTATGCAATGGACGTGAGGTGAAAAAGGATATGAATAAAATGAGATGAGTTAAGGATATAAATGATAGATATTTGCAAACCTTGAACTGCTCAAATAGATATGAAAAACAGTTCTTTTCTTTCAGAATTGCAAGTAGAAAGACAAGTTGTAACAGAGCAGCTGTAAAAGGATTAATCGAGTTCTCGTTGATTAAAGTAACGACCAATTTGAAATGTGAACATATCCTTGATACAATAGGACAAGATCCTTTTCAGTAAGTCGAGTCTAAAGATTTGCGGTTATTCTGTCTTGGGAATCTGCACAAGTAGTTAGTGGTAGAGGACTGGATATGACAAGAATATAGGGGAAGACGCGTTCGATAATGAGGTGAAAAAGGCTTCATCCCGTGTGCGAATGCCATATGTGTGACAAAAGGAAACAAGTTCACAGCTTAAAGCGATAGAGTTGACATGACAAAAAATGAACACAAAATACTGCTCTTATGACGACGAAATTTATTTGGAAGTCTTTTTTTATTACCTAGAACATTGACATCTCTGTAAAATACTACCGCAATATTAGTGTTATGCATATATTCCACATTGTTGGTTTTTAAAAACTATTTTGCATCCCAGAGGCCATGGTTGATTGAAGCTGCACTCTAATTTTTGGTAAAAAATGTCTATTCATTTAACAGGGTAAACTTGTCTTTATAAAGCATGTTTTATCAATTATACATTATGAGATGTTTACGGGACATTTAGCCTCTTTAATTTCGTTACCACGAATCGACACAGAAGTTGCGTTTGGGAGACGGGTTAAAAGCAGAGAGTTGTGTGATGTTTATGCATGCCGAGATTCGTGCCACAGTTTTTACGTGCAACACTTTGCGGCCGTAATGAAAAAATGCAGAACCATTTTGTGGCTGAGTTTGTGGATGTCCGTAAGAATGACACAGTGCTGGGAGTAGAACTCTCTTTAGCAGTCTTAACATAATTCGCTAAAAAATATGAAAGGGATTGTATTTTTTGACCGTTCGTATATCTAAAGACCTCTCATACAGTGAGACAACGTTTCTGCAATATGATAACCTAATATATAAGTTACGTTCAAGTTGTCAACATTCAGCTGTCGTTTTGTCATTCACTTGAAATCAAGAGAAAAAATTAAATATTTGCCTGTGGCTCTGTATTGAATGGAGTAACTTTTTTAAGGAAAAGGACAGTAGGAAACGTAGCGTAGGTACATGACTTATTTCTCCGCGAATATCGACATGAGAAGCTGGTTTTCACACATTTACTTTGTTTTTCTTCCTTGTGCTCTACCTCACGTCAACGTTGGATTATAATTGATTGGTTAATGATGTTGTCGTGAAGTGTGCTATACTAATTGGTATGACGTAATTCTGATCTCTAAACAGACTGTACAAATACTAGCATGTCCAAAGTAATGGGCATTCTCTTTTCCCATTTTGTATCCCTGCTTGACAGTAAAGCGTATCATGTAAATTAATGTTTTTACATTAAGCCAGAACCAGTATTAGTTTCAACGTTGCTGTGCATTGGTATACAAAGGCTCGCTACGAGTCCTTCAAAAATAAAGTAGCACTGAGATTAACGTTCTAATAACCTCAGCACATACTTCCACATGCATTTTACAAATAGTGCATCGGAGAATTCACTAGAAACATTCATTGTTCGCCCGGTAATTAATGTCTGTTGATAAAGACAATTAACCCGTACCCCGGTTCATCATTCACAAGAGTTTCAGCGTGAAGCAAATTCGTTGCCTTCTTTGCGAAACTCCCAACAAAAACTGCACGGTGCGTTTTCGTCTTTGCCAAGTACTCCTTTTATCGCAGCGGCGGCAGCGATTTTGTGGAGTAGGCCATGATAGTGTTCATTTGAAGAATTCTTGCCACTGCAATTTCTGTGTTGTTAATTATTCATACATAATATTTCATAATTCGTCAGTCATATCTTGAAAGCACATTGCACGTCTAGAAACGTTTAGTAAACAGTCAAAGTGTGTATATAAAGCTTTGGTAACTTGACCTAATATATTTACTAAGATCTTATTAATCAATAGGTTCAGGTACACCCTCTCAACTAACCTGTGGAATTAATATTTAAAAAAAATTGATGTTATATGCAACATAAAGTATTTATACTTCAACTAACCATGCATTGCTCCTCCTAGAACCAGAGGCAATCAAACTTGCAACCGCATCAGTGTAATTATGAGTGGAGTGTCGTCCAGCTTGGCTGATTTTTGCATGTCGTACGTAGCCATTCAGAAAGGATGTCAATTCTTGCATTCACATCAGCTTTCTGGTATTTCCCCCAACCAATCAATATATTGTAAATATTGTTTAGTAAATGAAGTACTCACATGAAGCGTCCATCGGATCAGCACGAACATAAACACTCAATATAACCTATATATGTATATCGTAAGGGGTCGTAACCACCGAAGTGTCACTCATGTCGTTAGAATAGGCAAATAAAATTGTACCGTATTTTAAGTGCCCTTGTTGGCTGTTCAAGGACAATCACGCCGTTTCATCCAATAGAACCAAGAAAAAGTCCAAATTTTGCCTAAACATTTCCCCGAGTTCTGTTTAATGTAGAATACCACATGGCCAAAACTGATTTTTATATTCAATCCTATATTCACCCTGGGCTTTTCAAGACCCTGAAGAGATATATCACAATATTTGTAAATGTGTAGGCTCCTTATCATGGAATACCATTAGTGCAAACATGCGCATGTAATTATATTGTACAACTTCTTACAGGAAATATGGCTTCAATATATTTTACATAGTTCCATCGATCAGCAGCACAAAGATATTCCAGCCAATTATATGTTAATATATTGTGACTGTATTAAATAACACGGAAAGTTTGAGGCACTGTAAGTTTAAATATACAGCATGTCATTTTCGCTGTTGTGATTATGGGCAGTAGCTTGGCGAGACATAATAAACTCTTTCCCGCAGCCTTGGATACCACGAAATTAGGTACCCCGTGGTCAGTAGATCTTCCCCGTGAGTATTTCTGAGAAAAAAAATATATTCCATTGTTCTGCCTCCAAGTTTGCGAATGCCTTGAAGTTTACATGCTTTCACACACAAATGTTATTCCCGGCTGACCAGTGAAAATTCTATTTACTCGTGCCATTCATCTGTACCGGTACCGCTATCTCTTCATCAAAAGATTTCCCCATGTCTACCCTCCCATACACATAGACGACCAAAACATGAAGTCGTTTTCTACCCCTTTCCTCCCATTTAATTAAATGGAACTGCTCTCGGGGGAAGTGCTTGTCGTTTTTAGATTCCGCGAATGAACTTGGTCCGGAACGAGGCTGCTGACATTTATGAACTTGACCACGAAGAATTTGACTTATGTTTCCGATCAACGAAAATTCACAGCACAACGGTATCACACTCGTTGATGCTGCTATTTCTATCCAGAAAATATGGGCTATTCAGGCTCACATATGCACGGAGTGAAGACCATAATTTTATTCCCTATCTACTATACATTATGTTTAACAATATCGCTCCTTACGCACACACTAGGGGGACGTTATTTGGTTTGGGTAATTTTTTTGGTGTTAACTCCAAATTTACCCACTTCACATAGCGCCCCTGTTGTGTCCGCTATACTTCCGAAAGGCTAATAGTCTGGATAGAAGACCCGATGATCCCGTCTGTTCTTGTCGAATCAAGGGTCCGGAATCCACGTGACCAAAACCAAAGGACTTCCCTCTCCCTTTCCGAAATTTGCCGAAATATTCCGAACTCGTTCCGTCTACACTCGGAGAGCATCGTTGATGTTTGGATATTTCCAGCCGTGTCTGTGCTTGTTACCCACGAGACACAATGTTGCTCCCTTCCTACGCATTTTTTGGAGTTTCGTCCATGTTTTCAAGTGACTGTCAACATATATAAAGAGCTTGTATGCCAGCACATCTAATATATAAACATAGGATCAGCCCAGGTCTTTCCTTGTGACCCTTGACATGTTGCGTCATGATCAATTTATATCCGTTGGCGATACCTGACATAAGGCCATGTCCGAATTACTTGGCTGTGGCCTGAAACTATGCACGAGGCAATGGTTTTGACCCAACACAGTTCCCGTAGAGTGGTGCGTAATTTCAAGTCATAGCAGCCTTACATTTTTTTCAAAAGTCGTCAGGGAATCGTCAGTCAGGGAATCAGACTAAAAAGTTTTCCTCTGCACCACGATTGCTGCAAAATGGCATTCGCACTCGAAGTTCTCTCCTTAGTGCTTCCTTATGTGCACTATGACACAAATAGCCTTTAGGGCCTACAGTTGTCAAATTCTACCACGGACATTTCCAGGGGCAAGCTTCTTAAGAGATGCACGTGACAAATGCATCGGTAGAGAAGACGCATTAACGGAATAGGGTTACAATGATCAAAGTGGACAAGGTGGCCCGAAATGTGTGCCTGTTGATCTCTGTGGGAAAAAAATGTAGGCCTGTGCCTTATATCACCGCAGAAACTATTGCTGTCGCTGCGCAGTCATTACAGGACAAGTGCCTTTGCATGTGGCGGGAAGAGCTAAGTGCTACAGGATTTCATCCACCGTGTCTTCTCATTAGAGTAAAAAAAAGAGGTTACATAAGGCTCTCTCTGAAAAAGTGATGTTTTAAATTTCTTCCGCTGATGTCGTTGCCTTGCTTGCATTCCCTACATTTTACTTGAAATCATATTTCAAGTGTTTCGGTAGTTCGTGTATTTCCTTGGTAACTATTGTGATTATCCAAATTGGGTGACCCTTTAATATTATATGATATACCTCTATGGTATATGGTTATATAAAATCCAATATTCCACAGCTCAGAAGGGCTTAACTATAGAGACAAACATGAAAGGATGCACCCATTTGCCACAAAAAATATCATCTGCAGTTTTGAAATATATTCCCATTCAAAAGTGATATCTCTTTGTGTGAGATTATTTCATCTGGCAAAGAATTTATCTAAAGATAGCACCCTTTGTCGTTAGTTTGTATAGAGAATAGATAAAAAGAGTCAAATTCAAACAAAGACATCCCTAATGAGGCAACAGGATTCTCTAGAGATATACTGTACTTATGCATAAATTCTTTCAGAAAGTGATATATTTTCACGGCAAACAGATGTATGACAAGGTAAAGCGGGTTTATTTTAAAAGACTTCATGCAGTTTATCATGATCTACTAGATAAATTCTACCAGAGAAATCTACGAAGAAAAGTAAAAAAAGTGTTGAAGATAAAACTTACTGTCTTTAGAACTGTACACCAATGTGCACTCAGAGTAATGAACTGTAAATTTTGGACAGGCTAGCCGTACCGGTGTGTTCTATAGAAACTACTCCAGAGGATCCATTTTGGATCTTTGATGCGTATAACGTTTTATTATCGACCTAAATAACATGTACCGCTTCCAAAATGCTGTTTACCACCAAACTAAAAGAGCGAATCATTGTCATGCGCAGTTCAATTCTGACGGATCTTTAATTTGACAAAGTGAAAAGATCGTCCATACGATGCTGGCTAATGAAAAATAAATGTACCCGATCATGCATTAACAACCAATTGGAAATAAGTAAGTGATACGGCAAGCACCGCAGGGCCCTCCCTGTACACATTGCCATTGGCGTGTCCTCGGGAGCGCAGGAGATTAATTTGCTCGCGAAAATTTCAACTGATGGTAACTGAAGGCATATGAAAAATTAACAAGTGTACTTCCAGAGATTAAAGGGCCGTATCTGACGAGGTATTGAGTCGTCATGAAAACAAAGGCCTTTCGGGATTCGCCACTCTGTTTTTTATTGATATTGTCGCCACGTACATTTGTAGATTGTGTACAGTTTTTCTAGTTTGATTTTCTCCCCATGGCGTTTAAATCAGGTTTCGTCAGTGGCGTAACTGGGGCTAAATGCCAAGGGGGCACCCGCGCTGCACCTAGTTTTTCAAGCGAGCACCACAGGGAAATAACCTGCAGCTACACAAACTCAACAAAGATTATTCACAGATTTCAAGTGGGGCACCGGAAGGAGGGACACGGGCATTCGAAGGGGGGGGCGTGCCCCCGTTGTCCCCCTCGCAGTTATGCCACAGGTTTTCACCTTGCTTTGTACACTGTCCTTCTGAAGTACATGTCAAGGTTTCATCGCAGCCTGTCGTGCAATCTTATTGTACATGTATTTGTAATATCGGCAACAGCCCACTGAAAATGAGCACCTAACCGAAGTGAAAACACTCGTTCCAAAGCGTTCTGTCCTATTTGGTATGCATGTCTGTAATTTGCAAATTTACAGGGCATCAATTAAAACAATTTCTACTCCACATCATCTGAATAAAGCCTGCCTTTAAATGGTTAGCATCGTTCCCCCCTACTTTGAAAAGATAAAAGGGGGCTCTTAAAGGGTAAAAAAACGAACAGGTCGTCGAATTTCAGCTTTTGTGAATTGTTGATACAAGTTTCTTGTCTTTTTTTTTCAAATGCTAACGACAAGTGTCGTGGGTTGAGTGGCCACTGTTCAACATCGACACTGCACAAAATATTTTGCACTTAAACTGAAGAAGTTCCTTGCCCATTCGTCATTGTATCATCCTTATTACTCTCCCTAATCATCGTCCATTAGATTGTCAAAGCCAATCGAGTCAGCTGTACTTGGATGTTTCATCGGGCTCTCACTAATCGTGATTTATTGAATACTGCGAGGCATTTTGAGTCGTCAAAGGGTCGATTGCGGGTATCACATCTTGGGGGAAAAAGACGATGATTCACATAGGAAAATAAACTACTGGAGATGCCTCTTGCATAGTACTCTTCCTGTTGATCTCAACCCTGGAGAACTCTCTCACAGGTGACTTAGAGACTCCGACTCACTAGTGCTAGTGCGCCACGCACTCCCAAACGCCTCCCGGATGCACTTAATCAATTGTGCGCATCCTCCTTTTTTGTATTAAAAAGTGTTAAAACAAATACATCTGCAGTCATGAACTCTCTGGAAACACTAGAAGGTGTTGACTCAACGCTGTCAGAGGTGTAATTAGAAAATTTGTATTCGGGATGTCTTTGAAATGCTCCCCCCCCCCTTTTAATGAAGTGTAATGTATATCTTCAGAAGACGTGTCCGTCCCCACACATACAAATGTGTCATATACTCTTTTTAATACATTTTTTTCTGTTGAACGACCTGAGCAAAATCTAGGTCCCTAGAACTCTGATATAGAGAGAACGATGGCAGCAGTAGACATGCTTAAATACGCACGCATGTTGTTAATCTAAGCTGAGATCTCAGAAGATCTAATGTAAGCTGGCAGCCGGTTGGCTAGGGCCGATGAATCTTTGCCGGCTTTTGCTGTTATTTGAACTTTGAAGATGTCTTTTAGCAATCGATTCCTTGGGTTGGTATGGTTAGTAACAATCTTGTCTCGGTTGTTTCATGGGTGAGTGAGAATGGTGAAACAAATTACAATTCCATTTTGATGGTATTTCAGTGTCTCATACGTGCACCATAGCAATAGCCCTGTGTACTGGTGACGTAACAATGTTTACCGCAGTGCATATTGGAATATAACGAGGACAATGGATACCTTGATTTGTCACCATACACTGCGATCACAATCAATCTCGGGGGAATTATATGGAACTGAAAAAGGAAATATATCACCTTCTTCCGATCACATGGAACTCGTATGTCGGCCATTTCCCCTACTCGTGGCATATGACGGTTCTCATCCGTTCACTGCGGTAAACGTCGTGGTACCTTATGAGTACCTACTGAAGCCATACACCTTAGTTACAATTTCAGTTTCCGTGTCTCTAAAATTTCTCATATTCCTCTAAGCAATACAACAACCTTGCATCGCTCACACAGACTACAAGGTGTGCAGTAATTCTTACCCATATAGGGTTTGCGTTTATCAAGTAACGGAAAATGTGACCACGCGAGGACTTCTGGACGCCGCTCGACGGCATGTTTTC